ACCCTATCTATGGATCTAAATGTTGGCTTCTCCTCGGTCCCTACCCAGAGCTCGTTCTGTTCATCCCGAACATGAAGTTCATATATCGAAGCTAAGGGAAACCAGGGGCACGAAGGCCCCATCCGTTTCCTTAATTTCAGTTTTCCCTAGTGTGTATAGGTTTTACGAAAAAAATGGGGGGGGACTGGTAGAGTACCAACAGTCCTAAATAAAGAACTTGAAAAGCATAAACGAAGAACACTGACATAAAAATACGAGGGAGGGGTAGAGAGACTTACCGATATTGGGTGCCAAGAAGAGATCAATCAACAACGAGCTTGATTGCAGCTTCTGGAGGAACAAAAATGGACGAAAATGAGGCGAAGAGCAGTAATGGCGGTAATGGCAGTAATGGCAGTAATGGCAGAAGCTTGGAGGCTAGGGTTTGGCTTGAGAGAGAAGATGAACAGTAGGAGCATATGTGACCACTCGTGTGCGTATATGAAGGAGGGGGGAAGCCAAAGGGCGGCAACTGTTTGAATTTTGTGCGTAAGGAAGACAGCTATGAGGCTACACGGGTCCAATGGTGTGAAACCATGTGGCATCAAAAAGAGGGCTCTGTCAGTACGGCTGTACGATCGATGACAAGACTACTGGCACAATTCATAAGATCGACCAAATAGGATAGCTCGGTCATGGTGGTAATCCCAATCACGCTCAGCTTGGATAGGATTAAGGGGCAATTGAGAGGGAGATTTGCGCCGGACAAGTATGGCCGAGCTACAGTAACGTGGGTTATAACGGAGCGGCCGGGTTACACTATTTGCTCGGTCGGAGCGGTTCCCCGGCCTATCACGCCGGGCCGAGGTAGATTTGTCGACCGGAGTATGGAATCATGTGTGTGCCCGACCGGGCTGTGATTCGGCTAGATGTTTGGTTGGATCCGTAATGGTGCGTCTGGACCGAGGCAAGCACAGCCCGGAATGAATTTAGACCGGGGTGAAGGTCGGCACGCCTCACAGCCAGTCAGTCCGAAAAGACCAACTTCTTATAGCTCGGTCGTATTGATCATGGTTGTGTTTCTTCCCAAGGGATAGGTCGGTCATGATATCCCGGTTGAGTGTGCCACCTGGACCAATGGTGTGATGGAGGGGAAATCCACTCCTGGCACGCGTCAATACCGTTTGGTAGTTCCACACATGTTGTTTGGAGGTTTTACCCTTTTCACGCGTAAGGTAGTGAGAGGGGAGCACTGCCACCTGTCCAGGGAAGGACATCAATCCTTGAGGCTGCATGGCCAGCCTAGAAAAAGAAGGGATGGGGGACGTTGGAGGTAAGCAATCTGAACAATTCTCTCTCTCTCTAAAAAGTGCTCTCTTCTTCTTCAGGTGGCCTGACTTGATTGTCGGAGGGTCTATCCGGCAGCTCACCGCCTGGCAGCTTACCATTTCTTTGTCTTCAGGTTAGGCGTCGTCACGAGAAGCTTGAGTTCAAGAAGTACGAAAAGTAAAGGATATTTCACCCCGTACAACAATTATGACAATTTAATGCTATAAAATTAGAGTGGCAATGTTAACCCACCCGTCGTTTGTGGGTTTGAACCCACCTTATTTGTCAGGCAATATTTGTTGGATGGACTTAATTATTGGCGGGTCCTAATGAAAGCTTATACAAACTTTAAAAAGCTAACTTTGCAAAATATATACTGTATGACAATGTCAAATGATGCGC